CTTTGAGGATAGCGGTAGCATTACGTTTGGGAAGCAAGGTGTACGAGCCGCGCCGCTGTTTGTGTGGCACAATGGTGATGGAGGACGGACACCATGGTTTAAATTGTCAGAGATGTGCGGGTCGTTTTCCCAGACACCAAGACATAAACGATATTTTGCGACTGGCGATGGTGTCGGCTAATGTCTCTTGCGTGCTCGAGCCCTCGGGTCTCGACATACTTCGCGGTTGGCGGGTTCCGCGACTGAAAATGCCGCGAAACTAATACATCTAAGACTTCGTACCGGTCGCGATCGAGAAGGCGAGCCCTGGGGTTCGGAAGATCGGAGCTTATTTAAAGAGTTGGGTCGCCGACTCAGAGACAGGGGCTGCGATTCTCATTCTGGGTCATGGTTGGTTCAGCAAGTGTCCATTGCCGTCGAGAGAGGCAATCCTGGCAGTATTATAGGAACTTTTGAATCGGGCACGATACAGGGCGGGATGTCTTTTTAGGTTTGATTAGTTTTATATTGCGTCGGTCAGGGTCAGGATATGTACCCTGCTATCAGCACAAAAAGTGTATTTTCTCAGTGTCGATGAAAAACGGATTATTTACTATAGTCTGTCTTTTTTGAAGACCGAGTAAATTGACATTTTTAGGGTTGCCAGTTTTCATACAATTTTAAATAATTATGTACATGTTGTCGCGTACGATCGCGATTGACAGCTACAGGTGAGTGCCTATATTCTGTCTGAACGGAATGTTAAAAATGGCAACACAGAGGGAGGAATGGGGGGGAATGATGAATGTTTCATAAGGAAAGGAACGTTAGAGAGAAAAAAGACGGAGATCAGTTTTTAGAGTAGCAAAAAGGGATGAGAGGAGGTGTAGTTAGTGCGAAGCAGATGGTGAAGTGTTTTCTAATCTGGTGAGTGTTTGTACTAATAAAGAGATATGGTAATATTGAGATATAGATGAAAAGATTATTGTATCTTGCTGGAGGTTTGGGTTGATCTAAGGGGAAGGTGGAGGATCAACATGGGGCCTCAGGGCCCCAACCTTCTACGCGTCGCTCTTGGCAACAGGTGTGCCCGTCTGATGAGAGGATCCAACCACCATGTGGCTCTCGGGTTTACTTGTGGTGTCGCTCGAGGCACGCAGAAGGTTTAACGATAATTGTAGTATGCATTAGCGCAATTATAAATCCCTATATCTCTATGTTATCATATTATTAAGCATGATACTTTGTCGCATATGAGAATTGACATTACATTGAGCTATCCGACATCATGACAAAACATGTAGGATATAAAACGTGGCGACACTTGTTGTCGATAGTTTTATCGATAGACTGCGAAAGAAGATAAAATTTTGCCAAACATGACTGAATTGTCAATGTTACGACGTTCTAATAATTACTAATTGCGTTATTGCATTCTTTATTCCTATTTTCACATTTGGTCTTTTAGTATCGAAATACAATTGTCAATGGTACCTGCGGGTACAGCACGTTGTACGGCGTGGGTGGGTATACGGGCAGCGAGTAAGGCAGCGTGGGTAACAGCTCGTGCAGCAACAGCTTCGGCGCAGGGTTCGACAGCGGCAGCAGCTGCTGCACGTTCTGCCACTGTACCGGCTCTTGATACTAGAAAGAGACAATTTCTCTAAACACCAGAAAAACAAAAAACGAAAATAAGTTACCCGTCTCAACGACTGAATATAATAAATACTTATTATAGTTCAGTTAGTTTTTAGTTAATTTGTCTCAACATTACAAATTTCATACTTTACACTACTCTTCGAAAAGTGATCGTTAGTTTATAATGAGAATAACAATTAATAATAATAATAATAATAATAATAACTTTGACCGTCACAGAACAAAACCTGGCGGACCGGGTTCGGTACCTACAGCGCTCAGGACTTTTTAGCGCTGCCGAACTCGAGCAATTACGATGCGAGGCTGTTCCTCCACTGGAAGAAGAGCCACCCAGGCTGGAGCGCTCTCCTGTTCCCAGCAGGGAAGTTCACAGGGAACCTAGTGCTCAGCAGCCGGATACGGGTGGTACTGAAAGTGATTGGGGAACAGTCGCCCTGGATTTGGAAGCGTTGAGGAGTAGTCTGGAGGAGACGATTCTGGAATATCGCCACGTGCCTCTTGAGCGAAGGCCACGGCTGCCTCGAGTGCCTCTCAGTATCAAGGTTCGGGATGCCGTTGGGGCCATTAACAACATGCTTCCCTCATTTTTAGAGGAAAGCGCAGACCTTTGGGAGACAGACTCAATTCTCTTCGCTGCCGCAATGACTGTGTGTCAATTTGTCGGCGTCAGGATGCCGCCAACAAGACCCGGCGGTAACCACCAGGTTGGCAGCACTACTCCTAGGACTAGTACTAAGCCAGCCTGGATGAGGCGAATTGAGGGTCGTATAGCATGGGCCAGGGTCCTCATCGGCAAACTGACTAGCTTCAGATCAGGCGTCACAAGGCCGAGAGTGATGCGCTTTGTCCGAGAAGCATTCCCCGGTGAGAACATTTTTGTAGACTCACCGGAGTTTGCACGAAAACTGACAGGGCGCATTGATGATCTGAAGCAGAAGATAGCTGCTTGGGGCAAGCGGATTCGGCGATATTCCGAAAGGGTGAAGAGGTATCGGCAGAATCGTCTCTTCATGAGTGACCAAAAGAAGTTTTATAGGACACTGGAGCGTCCTGATGTGGTCTTGACGGGTGAGCGTCCGGACAAAGCAGAAGTGGTCGCCTTTTGGCGAAGGCTTTGGTCGCAGTCCGTCGATCACGAAGAGGGTCCATGGTTCGAAGCGGTCGAGAGAGCATGTGCAACCATAGCGCCTATGAATCCCATCAGCATATCCGAAGAGGATGTAGCGGTAGCGGTCCGTAAGGCTCCGAACTGGAAAAGTCCGGGACCGGACGGACTGCATCATTATTGGCTGAAGGGGTTCTGGTGCTGCCACGCTACTCTCGCTCGTCAGTTCCAAAGTGCCCTTGAGAGTGGGACGCTCCCAAACTTCTTAACTACTGGGGTCACTCATTTAGCTCCAAAGAGCGATGCTACCGTGGATCCATCACAGTATCGCCCCATAACTTGTCTTTGTACAATATACAAGACTTTAACATCTGTTTTGAGCTCCAAGATAAGTCAGCACATTGTTGATAACAGTGTGATGTCTGAGGCTCAGAACGGATGTAGGGGCGGTAGCCGCGGTAGTAAGGAGCTGCTCCTCATCGACGCGGTCGCTGGCCAACTTGTCAGACGCAACCGTCGGAATTTCTCCGCTGCCTGGATAGACTATAGGAAAGCGTTCGACTCGGTGCCCCACTCATGGCTCTCGAGGGTCCTCGAACTGTATAAAATTGACAGTGCAGTTCGACACTTCCTCGGGCAATGCATGGGATGTTGGAGAACGATCCTGAGTCTGGACGGTCGGCGGATGACGGATGCGGATGACCGAATAGAAATAAGGCGAGGTATTTTCCAGGGTGACTGTCTGAGTCCACTGTGGTTTTGCCTGGCCCTGAACCCTCTGAGTACTCTATTGGAGAGGTCGGGCACAGGCTTTCAGTTTCGGAGAGGTGGGCCGCGAATGCCTCACCTTCTCTACATGGATGATCTCAAGCTATACGGCCCCACAGCTGACAGATTGACGGAGCTGCTGACAATCACCAACGATTTCAGCAGTTCGGTTAGGATGGAGCTTGGGATCGAAAAGTGCGCGGTGGTCCATGTTGAGAAGGGACGTGTCATGCATTCTAATGGCATTAATATTGGCACCAATCACCTGCGGGTACTCTCCGAGACTGAAACATACCGGTATTTGGGCATGTCGCAGACCATCGGTGTGAAGGAAGCAGACGTGAAACAGGGTGTGTGCGAGGTTTTTTATGGGCGCCTGAAAAATGTGCTAAACAGCTATTTGTCAGGCGTTAATAAGATCCGAGCTTATAACTCCTGGGTCATGCCTGTTCTGATGTACACATTTGGCGTGCTCAAATGGACTCAGACGGAATTAGATGCTCTGGATAGACGAGTCCGCACGACGATGACCTCTCACCGAATGCATCATCCGAGATCGTCAGTTATGAGATTGTATGTCCCGCGGAAGTGTGGAGGTAGAGGCCTATTAAGTGTCAAAACCATGCACAACCGCGAGATATGCAGTCTCAGAAACTACTTTTTGACGATGACGGATGACGTGATTCGTGGAGAGGTTGTCACAAGTGATAAAGGGCTAACTCCCTTATCGTTGGCCAAAGAGGAATGGCGAGACCCGGTGGTGCTTAGCACCTCTGACCGCGAGTCCGTATGGAAAGAGAAGGAGCTCCATGGGAGGTTCTTCAAGGTACTCCACGAGCCTTTTATGGATCGTAAAGCCTCCCTACATTGGCTGCGTTTCGGGGACCTCTTTGGGGAAACCGAAGGTTTTGTCTGTGCAATACAGGATCAGGTTATCAAGACGAGGAACTATCGGAAATATATCCTAAAGGACGGCACAGTAGACATTTGTCGGGCATGTGGCCGTCCCGGAGAGTCACTTAGGCATATTGTTTCCGGTTGTTCCGCTCTTGCTAACACTGAGTACTTGCACAGACACAACCAGGCAGCCAAAATATTACACCAAGAGCTCGCTCTCAAGTACGGACTAGTGCAACAGAGGTTGCCATATTACAAGTATTCACCGGAGCCAATACTCGAAGATGACCGCACCAAAATCTATTGGGATCGATCTATTATCACGGACAGGACTATTCTTGCGAATAAGCCTGATATTGTGATATTGGATCGATCGCAGTCGAGGGTATTTCTTGTGGACGTCACCATCCCGCATGACGAGGGTCTCGTGAAAGCTGAAACCGAGAAACGCCGGAAGTATCTCGACCTGGCGCACGAGATCACCGACATGTGGGATGTGGCCTCCACTGAAATAATCCCAATTGTTTTGTCCGCAAATGGGTTAATTCCAGTAAGCCTTTCTAACAGCTTGAGGCGGTTGGATTTCTGTGGCGTGTCGCTTCCAGCACAAATGCAGAAGGCGGTCCTGCTCGATACGGCACGTATTGTTCGCCGATTCTTGGACCTGAGTCCCTGACCCCGGCCGACTGTGCCATTGCCGGGAAATACCGCCTCTCCCATTTAAAAATTCAAAATTAATCTTTTAGGCCTTGGGAGAGGCGAGAGTTTAAAATAAATACGATAATAATAATAATATAAACGCACACACTCAACATAGCCCCGCACTAGGGAAACCCTGTGTCGCGGGTGCCATGGACACACACATAGACAATCACAAATTACACCCAAACTCACGAGAGAAATAAATGTAGGCCATACATATATTTCTCCCGGCCCGGGAATCGAACCCGGGGACCTCTGCGTGGCAGTCCGGTATGGTAACCGTTCGGCCACGGAGGCAGTTAAATTACAACAATATTAGAATAATAATAAGTCATAGGACATAATAGTGTACGTATACAAATCAAATTCATAAATGAAAAGTAATTGCTTGAAAGTAACAAAAATGTCAGGTGTACAATAACACAGGAAATGTCAATATGGTTTGTTAATATTGAATGTACTCTGTTACTGAGTAAAGGGACTTTTCCAATAAAAAGTTCTTTAGTTTGCGCCTGAACATTGCCTCACAAATCGCGTACATTTGTTTTATCAAACAAATCAACGTTTCGGACACTTTACAGGTACCATAGTCACGGTTGACTGACCTGTCACGGAACTTCTAAAGGGCCAATTACGTAAGCTGCCTATATGAAAATCGCTGACATTGCCTCGTGTATTGCCAGGTGAGGATCGCTGACTCTGCGGAATGTGTACGCTGCCGCCGCGTGACCACCGTCAGGGCGGACCGCGGGAACGCATCGATCGCCACTTAGTATCTAACAGCGATCGGGTCAACTAGTTTTAATACTTAATTAACATTGTAATTCTTTTCTACTCTTAATTAAATTTATTATAAAATATTTCGTTTATATTTAAGTCCTGCGGCTGCGACATTCATAATTGACCCGAAACGTTGGTTTGTTTAAAAGAAACAAATATACGCGATTTAAATACAGAAAAATAGTTTCATTTCCTATGTGTAACGATTGCGAACACCTAAGAACTCAATTTAATATTTTTTCTTCCCCTGTCTAGCGGGTGCCATGGCCACATAGACAACAGCAAATTACACCCAAACTCACGAGAGAAATAAATACAGGCCACATAAATATTTCTCCCAGCCCGGGAATTGAACCTGGGACTGTCCAGTATGTGGCAGCCCAGTATGGTATCCGTTCGGCAACGGAGGCAGTTGGTCAAAGAGATTTTGAATTTGATTAAATTCTTACCGGGTAAGGCTGCATGGGTTGCGGCAGAAGAGCCACGTTGCTGACTGGGTATTGCGGGAGAACGGCTTGCGGCATTTCCACTTGGCCGTAGGACATGTTGAAGCTGCAAGGAAATACAATACTTTAGAACTTTTATTACCAGTAGGGCTCCATGTGAAAGAGCTCGTCCAGGGAAGTACTGCCACCTTACCTATTTCTGCCGCCAAGCACTAACGTACGCATCACTGCGTTCCGGTTTGGGAGGGTAAGGGAGTTGGTGAAATTACAGGCATATATTGACCCCTCCTAGGTAAAGTATCGTATGTCGAAATTGCCAAGTTTACAGGGGAGCCTTTTAAAGTTCTGAATTCACTGAAATAAGTATAACACGTGACTTTAGCATTTCACATTTTTATTCGGTAAACTCGTTACTCACATAGAGTATTATAAAATCCTATAAATCGGTTAGATGATCTGTTAGATGATCACTCTTTCAGTGAATTTAGAACTTTAATACGTTCCCCTGTAAACTTGGCAATTTGGACATACGATATTTTACGTAGGAGATTGTTTTATGATATCAGCGACGGGACGAACAAGTCGTTCGCCTGTTATAGGCGACACGGCTGTTCATAGCAGTTGCAGTGCCACTCAGAGCTTTAAATCGCAAAGGTTTGAGGGGAACTGCCACTGCGTCTGTCACCGTGATCCATAAGTTGACAAGTCCCATGTATCTGTAATTTGATCAGCACTCTTACCCTTCAAAACCGGAACGCAGTAATGCTCAGGTTACTTCTTGGAGGCAGAAATAGGAAGGTGGCAGTACTTCCCTGGACGAACTCTTTCACAAAGAACTCTACTGCTACAATATCTTTTAGGCCATGAGAGAGATCAGTCTAAAATAGATATATTACGTACGACTTCAAATTCGTGATTTCTGGGACTCTTGGTCGCATAAACGCACACGTTGACTCTCAAGAATCGAGTAGATAGCCAGAAATAGAGACGAAATAAGGGCCATCCATCCCTCACAACTTATCAGGCAAATGGGCCTTATATCACTTTTAAACATGAAATCACAAATTAGAAAGCTGAAATAATAGCGCCAACAACTGACCTGTGTGTACGTTTCCGTATATTCCAAAAATATTGTATTTATTGTAATAAAGATAATATCTCTAACAACTTGTCCCATTCGGTGGTGTGGGAAAAACAAAACATCTAATTACAAAACAAGCGGAATCACATTTCATCGGTAGTTATATTTATGTAATTTTGCAATTTTCGTCCATTATAGCAAAGCTCAAGTTAACTGGTCGATTTGGAGTGAAACAATTGACGACACCCGTCAATTGTTCTTTTCGGGCTGGCTAATCGGAGCGCACTGGTCACCGTAATGATTTGGCAGAATAGTTTTCAAACAAATTAAATGACATTTCGTCTCTATTTCTGGTTATACACTCGATGCTTTCAAGAAAACAGGGACAATTAAGTAAATGTCTATGTTATATACTATGTGACAGATTCTAGTAAGACGGCCTGTTAGTCTATTGCTAAGGAGGCACGCTATAATATCCAAAATAATAATAAAAAATAAAATTTGAGGCGACTTGGGCCTACATACATAGGTTCCCAAACTTTTTCACACGGGCTCACCGCCCCCTTAGACAAGATAAAAAAACTTCAACGCCCACAAAAAATAATGAAAAACACGTATTTTTTATATTAACTTATCACTTATCAACTTATCAAAGGAAAAATAGTAAATTGTACAACAAATGCATAAAACGCGTCATTTTATCCGAGACGAGTATATCCGAGTGGATACATAAGTCGAGGGTAAAATGGGTTTTATGAACGAGTCACACTCTGCTTTTCACTTCGATTGCGAGGAAATTAAACAGCAATATTACAAATAAACGATTATTTAATTAAAATTGAGTGTAAAATTACAACAATTAGACATATATAGCACGTATTAGAAAAATAAAAGTAAAACTATTTTTTATAAAGTTCTAGTGTGCGTGGCTGTTGGCGCAGGCGTCATTGCCTCGGTCTTAAATGACGATTTTATTTTATGCACTAGAGCATGAAATCCTATTTTATGCAGCCTACGCCCAGAATAAATACGAACTTTAAGAGCATGAGAAGTGAAAAATATATGTACTGTAGTTTATATTTTCACGCATCTTCGTCGAACCTGGGACCTTATCCCATAAAGAGATATTGATAACCTCATTTCGAGTATGTACAATCGTTGCAGATGCGTTATAAACATCCGAGGTGCATCGACAGATTATTAAATTTTATTTTGTAGCAATTCATTGTTTCATTTCAATTTGTTTTTCTCTTTAATCACCAAAAACAAAACTTCTTATTTTAATACAATGTAAACTTTTTTTATTTTTACTATACAAGTCATTAAAACAATTTTTTATTGAATTTTATGTCAGATTATAAAATACTGCACATTTTGATATAAGAAAGTTTCAAGAAATTTTTTGTAATTTCTTTGCAATCCACAAAAAACTAAAATATTCATAGATAATGTTGATGTATGTATATAATTTAGGTTATTTTTTTAAATGTGGTAGCACCCTGCCGCACCCTTAGGACTCTTTATCGCCCACTGAGGGGAGGTCGACAACATTATTGGAAACTATGGCCTACAACTAAGACGTGTGCTGGGGAAAATACCTCCTGTGTTGATGCGGTTGTTGGTTGACAATATGATGCGGGTGTGGGTTGGAGGCCGGCTCGACACACGCTCCGTAGCTGTAGTCCACGGCTACGCTGTAGGGGTAGCTGGGGTCGATGCGAAACGTGCTGTCACTGGGCGATGAGGGGAGTTTTTGCTCTTCCAGCTGTACTGGTTGGTAGAGCGGTTGGAGTTGCTGGTCCTGGGAAAACAATGTATTACTTAAGAATCCACTTGAGAAAAATTGTCTCGAGAGACTAGACTCACAAATCGTCGCCTCACTTTTTCGAAGTCGTATCTTAAAGCATGTACAACTTGTGAGACGGTATTTCCAAAAATAACTAAAATTTAGACCTGTCGTTACAAGGGTTTTTTTATATGAGGGGACGAACAAGTCGTGCGCCTGATTGTAAGCTACACGCCTGTCCATAACAGTTGCAGTGCCACTCAGAGCTTCAAATCGCAAAGATCTGAGGGGCACTGCCACTGCGCCCGTCTCCCAGAGACAAAAGATGAAAAGTCCCATGTGCCTGTAATTTCACCAGCAACTTACCCTTCAAAACCGGAACACAGTAATGCTAACATTACTGCTTGGTGGCAGAAATAGGTAAAGTGGCAGTACTTCCCTGGACGAACTCTTTCACAAGGACGTCTACTGCTACGTTTTTGAGAGAAGAGAAAAAAAAAAGTGTTGCCTGCCCAAAACAAAAATGAAATACTGTCATAATCTTAATGTATAAATTCTACTAAATTATACATGTAATTATTAGAATTTGTTTAAATTATATGTTTAAATATACTCTCGGACACAATTCGAGCTACCTCGCATTTTTGTCGTAAAGGGTTAGAATACAAAAATAGTGTCATCATCGAAGAAAGTTTTCGCCGGTTTTGCAAATTCAAATTCCCAACAAGGACTTATGGGAAAGACGTTTAGTATACTAGTTTCAAAATTGCATACTAGTTTTTGATCAATCAAACATTGTTTAAGCTTAGGGCACTTAATAATTTCTTAAACAAAGCATAAAGTTACTGAAATGCAAAAAATGGATTGTATATACAAATTTTGCTGATTTTTTCGCATTCACAAATTTGGCTGATTTCCATTACATTTCTTTCTTAAAGTACTAGAGACTAACTAAGAGACTACACGTGTCGCAAGCGGACAGGTTAAACCGACTGAAAATGGCACGATATGTCTTCAATTATAATATTACTTATGCCTTTTCTAAGGATAATACTTACAACTCGACACTGATTGATAAACTGATAATGCTGCGGAACAGGTGCTGGATACACGACGTTCGTCAATGAGATAGGTCCTGTAAATAATAATGATAATAATAACAAATGCAGAAGACGGTGTTGCGGAATACGGCACCTGTCCTTCGCCGGCTTTTGGATTTGAGTTCTTGACCCCGGCCGAATTTTAGTCAATTTCAATTCGTCAAGTCAAATTCATTTAAACTCTTTTTGTTGTAATATGTAGTTACTATGATGATGTCCAATATAGTGTGTCTTTTATGAAGACGAAGTAAAATGACATTTGTAGGGTGCTAGTTCTCATAAAATTTTATAGTTATGTAGTTGTTGTCGATAGTTTTGTCGATAGGTTGTGAAAGAAGATAAAATTTTGTCAAAAATGACTGAATTGTGAATCTTACGACGTTGTAATAATTACTAATTGCGTTATTGCCTTCTTTATGCTTATTTTATAATTTGGTATTTTAGTATCGAGATCAATTTTCATACATGTACATTTTAACAAGAATAGCCGGACTTAACTATATATATTGAATTAAAATGAAAACCTGTAAAATACGTCTCCACTTTGTATTTTTCATAAACATTATATACGTATACACAGTATAAATCTACGCGGATCAAATGAACTTGTGCTCAGTAATTGAATAAATAATGAGTCGAGGATGAGTTGAGGATGATTCAAATGAAACAAGTTCAGCTATTTATTCCATAAGCGTGGCCAATATTCAGTCGATAGTCGATAGAATATTTTATCGACTGCGATCACTAGCCGCTCGCAAGCGGGCAATACTTTTGCTTTTTTGAACTGTCATTTTACTGCGTCTTTAAAAAAGACAGAATATAACTGGGCAAATTAGCACATTCGACAATTCGACACCTCCTACGTAAAGTATCGTATGTCGAAATTGCCAAGTTTACAGGGAAGCATTTTAAAGTTCTGAATTCACTGAAACGAGCATAACACGACAAAGCTAATCTAATAGATCATCTAACCGATATGTAGGATTTTACAATACTCTGTGTGAGTAACCGTTTGCCGAATAAAACTGAAAAATGCTAAAGTCACCTGTTATGTTCCTTTCAGTGGATTCAAAACTTTAAAACACTTCCCTGTAAACTTGGCAATTTCGACATACGATACTTTACGTAGGAGGGGTCGAATTTATCTTTTTATTTTTTTTTTTAAATTGTGTTCCACTTATGAGTCTGTACAACCTCAAATGGCTTTGGTTGGTTCAGCATAACAGGGACAGTGTTGAATCAAACACTTTGGGAAAAAAATATGTAGTAAAATTGATCTTTGTATTAATAATTACAACAATCTAGTGGAGTAATTTTCAAAAAATAATTGAAGCCAAAACATAATAAACTTCATTAAACTTCATAATATATGATTTACTAAAGAACACATTCCAAAATATTATAACAAAATATATTTTTAACGTAAATATATAATTAACCTTCCTCTATTGGCTCTAATTCTTTTTTTTATACCGCCAATATCACGTTACGTCTTTCGTCAATACCCTCTGTTCAACTTTCAATAAACCCGCACAATGACACTAAGACGGACACCATTCTTCGAAATCCTAGCCGTAATAGAATCCTTAAGCAGAACATATGATACTGACGTGTTCAGCAACATTGAATCAAAATTTCTAACACCCGCTGGTTACTATTTGCAGACGGTCACCGTCGCTCTGTGGTCCAAATTCCGCATCTTACCGGTGATCGACTCAACCTGACTATGACTCATTGACTTACAATTATATGGACGTCGGGTCCGCGCTAAAAAGTGTCCGAACTTATAGGGCGTTAAAATCGTATACAGAGCGTCATTCACGCTTTAGTCTTCGTTTGTTTCTTCTGACAGCGAAGCAAGCAAAATTAGACAGTACTGCGATGACATTACAATTTAAATTCAACGTTTTAGCTTTTTTATATTCCTTTACATGTCACTACGTTTAAATAGGTTGACTTGGGACATTTTTTTCGTGGTTTTTGTATTAGACCCGTCGTCCATTTATTTGTAAGTCAATGCTATGACTTACATGTTTAGTTATAAGTGCTGTTAGTGCATGTTGTACAAAAATAAATAAATAAATAAATAATTCTTATTTACGCCACACAAAAAAAAAACAAATATACGCACAATCCAACAGGTCTATACTTACGTATATTAGGATCAGGCACAGGAACAGGAGTGGTTTTCGGTTGCAAAGTTAAATCTGGCTGTACGTATTGGACAGTCTGCAACTGCTGCGCCTGAATCTGGACCTGGGCGGAGGTCGTCACCTGTTGAATGACGAACGGAGTCAATTGTCCGTGTGTGGTATCATGCTATATCCATATGCGTCCCAATAATACACCATACTGTCATAGCAGTAGAGCTTCTTGTGAAAGAAGTCGTCCAGGGAAGTACTACTGAAGTAAAGGCACGTGGGACTTGTCTATTTACGTCTCAAGGTGGGCGCAAGACAGCGTCCCTCATAACTTTAAAGCTCTGAATGGCACTGCAACTGCTATGGACAGGCCTGTCACTTATCACCAGATGCAAGACTTGCTCGTTCAATCACTTGATATCATAAAAAAAAATTAAAATATATTTACCTCTTCTTGAGTGAATCCTTGATGATACCCGTGTTGTGCAATGCATTGTACTTCCGCTTCCTTCGGCCTGTGACTGGTCAAGTCATTTCTCTGATTGGTCGGTTCGAATTTCTGATTCATCTCAAACGTTCTATTATCCAACCTTAGCTGCTGATTGGCAGGCTCAAATGTTCGACTTTCACATCCTTGCCGCGGATTTGGTGAAAACCTTTGATTTTCGTACACCGGGCGCTGATTGGTTGTTTCTAGTGGTTTCTCATTGGTCGACGTAGTGTAAGTTGGCCTGTGGTTGGTGGCCACTTCTTGTGCTTGACTGTGAGTGGTCGAGTCCGGTTGTTGGTAACGGTTTTTACAAGGACTTTTTGGTTGTTGACTAGGTTTCTCGTCAGATTGTGATGATACCTTTAAGTTTAAGAGTTTAAGTTTAGAAATAACTATCATTAATTTACTTTTCGGAACTTTCGAAAAATATTTTTTGAATACAGTTGCTCTAAACGTGGTATTTTTCGTACTATAAATCGTGCCGAAAATTGGATTTTTTGCACTAGTGCTTTTTACTTTTCCATTTTTTTTAATTTACTGCTGTTTCAAGTCTTAATATTTATTTTTTATGTATATTTATTTAATATTTATGTGCTTTGTGACGTAAGTCATTCGTTATTAAAACTTATATTTACTTACAAACATCTTGTTTGTTTAAATTGCATAGGTGTTTTATAAAACAACAGGTTACATTTAAAAATACCAAAATATTTTCCATAAAGATGGCTGACTGAGTATTAACAATGACCGGAGGTGAGTACTACGCGAGACCGCTGCGCGCCGCGCCACTAAAATATACTGTTTTATTTCACTTTCCATGTAGTTTTTTCGCAAATGTATTAAAAAACGTCGTTTGATACACTTGCGGATTTGTCCTTTTCACTTGTCTCGAGTCTTGACCCTCGTCTCTGGCTCGGGCCAAGAAGCCTCGAGACTCGTGAATAATGACTAACTTTCCGCACTTGTATAAAAAATAACCATTTTAGTAACTAACAAAAAAAAATGTACGAAATAAAAGTAATAAATATATATTGTTTTTAAACACATATATTTCACGCCCATTTCCAGTCAGATATCACAGCCTTACATTTGGTACGATCCTGATAGAAATGTTTCATATCATACATGCTAGTCATATTCTGTCATTGAACACAAAAATTACTTTTATAATTATGTCACATTAATCTGTCTTACCGAGAATCGAACCCGGGACTTTCTCAAACCGGCTGACGGCGCAGGAGAGCTTTGAAGGGGATCATAAGGGCACACTGTAGAGGAACATCGCTTATCGCGTTTGCCGGTACCCCCGGGCATTCAGGCGTCTCCCGCCGCAATATCCTCTGGCGTGCCAAAACGTGCCAAATCGTACCAAAGAGGCTTATAGGTGACTCGGATTTAGTAGAGGCGAAGCTGCAGAGCCTTGAATACCGCAGTAAAGTTGCCTGCTTACTGTCTGTATCTTACTGTACTGTATCCTACAGGATATATCACGGAGTGTGTGATGGAATGGCGTGACTTAATTCCGCCTTCCCCTTTCCATCAGCGGTTTAGACGTAGGCTGGGTGGGGTGAAATGTATGTACCCTATTTTGATAAAATATACATTGATGAATTTAAGTTCCGTCCGGTTTTCACATTTTACAACAGCCCTTATCACGACTCATTAAAACTTACTTGTACTATTTCAGAATTATTACTCCTCGTGCAGTTGTCGTGCCTGCGACATTCGCAACAACACTTACGACTCTCTTCACTCGGCTGGCATTCGCATTCTGGAAAATTTACATTAACTTATGGGCATGGCTCCGTCACAAGCTCAAGGTCACGTGATAACTGCCTAACGCTTAGTGTAACGTCGGCGGTACAAGCGCTCAGAGGGCTGTACCTGAACGGTCGAACATTTTTTTGTTTTGCGAAAAATCTTCGAAAATGTGCAATCTATGGCGGTCTGAAAGTACCACCAGAAACATTATGCATATTAATCAAAATACTGTCATAACTAGTGTTGGGTCATGGTAAAATTTCCATTTTGAAAAAAATAGTTTTCCACATTTGATTTTGACATCTGTCAAAAGTTGAAGTTTAAATCTCGTTTTTCTTTATGTGGTTTTTAGTTGCACAAGTTTATTTTATAATCCACGCTAAATAAAAACTTCAAAAGATATTTCTAACGTGGAATATGAATCTTTGAAATTATATTTTTCCAATATTTATGTTGATTTTATAACCACATTGTGCTTACCGTTGTCAATGAAGGAATGTTGCTTTTCTAATCTACCTCTTCTTTTCTCGTTGCTCTGGTCCATCTGAAAAGTAAATTATCTACAACATTTTACAGGAACACATGAAAAAAAAAGCATAAAAAAACACTTTCGTTTCTCTCTAAATTAAGATTTGAAATAAAAAATTTGGAAATCTGTCATCTGTATGTAATCGCAAAGTGTAGAAAGTCAACGTCCTGTAGAACAACGAAATACGAAAGTCGCTATTGGGATACTTTTAAAGTACTTTATTATAAAAACTTGTCTGAAACGACCTCTTGACTCAGTCAACGTAGCAATGTAATTCATAGCTATATTTCATAACTCAATATCAAAGCCTCAACTTACTTATTTTTAATTTTAACAATTTATTTATTAGTTGACCAACACTATAGCAAACGTTATAATGACATTTTTTTTAATGATACTAATTGTCAAGTATAAGGAGTCGTGCGCCTGGTGGTAAGCGACACGCCTATCCATGTTAGTTTGCAGTGCCATTCAGAGCTTTAAATCGCAAAGATCTTATGGACACTGCCAGTGCGCCCGTCACCCCGAGACACAAGTTTACAAGTCCCATGTGCCTGTAATTTCAGGTTTTCAGGTTAGGTAAAGTGGCAGTACTTCTCCGGACGAACTCTTTCACTTGCTTGCTTCCTTAACATTGAAATATTGAACATTACAAAACATAGCACTACAACATGCAAGATAATAAGAACGTTAACATTGGGCCGTGTTCTACATAAACGAGTTAATCCACAAAATGAGTTCTGAGATATTGAGAATGAAAGATTTTTGTCAAAAACCTTCCAAAAATGTTTCCACAACACTACAGTACTCTATCCCGCTTCGCACCAAAGAATTGCACAGCATAATTTTAATGCTGGCCGATTTAAAGTCCCTACTGGACCCCGATTCAGAATTCTTCGATATTTTAACTGAATCTTTCGATTGGATATCGTTCTCGAATCGAAAGGCGCTTTCCGAGCTATTCAGAACATTCCGAGTTAAACGTTCCGGATTCGGATACGATTTCGTTATCCAACAGCGTTTACGGAGTTAATCTAAGTTAGTATATTTAAGACTTTAGAGACCTAAAATATAGGAATGCATTAGGCTTGCATTAAAATAAATTAATAAAATTGAACAAAATCCAAACTTTATTTAAAACAATAAGAGATTTCCATATTACATTCCTGCTTTCTAAACTTTTTCATTCGATAATTGTGTTTTGAATAACGTTTGTAGCCTTTGCCGGTCGAGAAGTACGTGTAATCGTACGAGTGTGACGTTTGATTCGGGTGTTGTGAATAAAAATAAAAAGAAATCGGTCGACAACCGAGTCATCGTAAGATTCTGAATGTATCTCCAGTTTCGCAAGACGAAACGGAGGGTTTGACAACCCTTAGATACGATGTTATCGATGTGGATATGGAAGCGAACAAAACTACCTACCTATCTCAAATGACGTCAATTTTAAATGTACTCAAATGCTTTCCCGAATGGCAAAAAAATCCGGAACAAAAAATTATTGTTGTAAGGTAATCTCCACTCTCTGTCTCTGTTCCTCGAATTTTATATAAGTAAAAAAAAAAAAGATTTTAGAAAGTCATTCTATTAATTCTATGTTCTGATATTAGAAAATAGGATTACTTACCCGTTCATTGTCATAGTTAATGTTGTAAAGTGGCGGTGGATTGTCAGGTTCGAAGTGGTACACACTGCCGTCCGGGTTGGTAAGCGGACGACCCGTCTGTGGTTGACAAATACTAAATTTTAAATATCTATTGATTTCAAATCAATCAGTTTTAACTCCTTATACTCCGTCCAACTAATTATTAAACTTTGGACCTATGCATGCCTCCTAAGTTTCATAATTATTGAAATACAGCCATAGACAAAAAATGCAATACTTCGTGGTTATTTTAATGTCTAAATTTTAGTGAAGCGACGCGCTCGTTAGCTCCGCTATTTATCGAGCCAACAGATTATGTAACGAAGATTATTCAAGTTGATAAATTTTGGTACCGGTCTAATAAATCATAATGAAATTATATAAATTATAAATAAATGCAGTAAATTCTATTATAATGAATCGTCGGATATTTCTCCATATGAATGGGAATCATTAATTATGAATTCTTGAATACACAAATTGTCGCACGCAACATCACGATCCCAATCAGACTATATCTTCCTTTTTGAACCCACTCACATTCACGATTAAAACTTCTTCATAAATAAAATCGGTTGTTATAAAAAATCGAATCAGGACATCACTAATTGATTAGAATTCGAGTTGTCAAAAGTTAAATGGTTGGACGGAGTATAGTAAGTAAATATGGTGAGGTAGACTTGTTCAACATCAGAACACGTAAAGCCGTTACATTTGTCTGACGTGTCGTGTCAGAACGGTATCGGCTACATACACACAACACAAGCAGTGACGTCAGATTGCGACACAGTACACACAGATCCATGTACAGTTATTTTCATCGAGGAAACTTTGTCTGTCGAGGACTTTTCGTTGAAAAACAGCAATGACGAGATGTCTTTCACGTATCTGCATTCTATAATTGGGACCGCGTTATATATACCGTCAGTCGAAAACCCACTAAGCGTGCTTAACAAGCTTGAGAATCTTGAAAATGTTGATCACATCAAACTTACTGAAAATGACCTCTCTGCCAATATCGTGCCACAGAAAATACTTATTTATCAACCTCAACGACGCACAAGAAGGTGAATCAAGGTCCGACCTCCTTCGCAGACATAATGACTTCATGCAATCACCATTGGAAAATCTATCGGCCAAACATGATTCTATAGTTTCTATTTACACAACTCATTATCCATCCTGGACCGTATCCATATCAAGAATGAGACGATAGGCCCGAATACGCTCTTAGCTTTTCGATGTCGTAGGTCTACGTATCTCTTTTGAACCAATTACATATATATATACTATATATATATTACATATGTATAGAATATACAACAATGGTTATCAAAATTTCGTTTTACAATATCGGAAACCCGGTATAATTACGTTTATTACTGATTATACGCAGGAAGTCCTCGTTCAAAACCACACTTAGATGATACTCGTTCGATAGCGATTGAAATTTTCGATTTACTAATCGATTACAAAAACTTTAATTGAATGAACCGAATGTTTTTTTCGTACAGCACTCTGCAACCATAGACAAATAACAGATGTATAGTTGAAAAATAACCTCATTTTTGGATAACCATTTTTCAAATACGATTTTACGAATATTGTAAGTCGAAATCTTGGAAATATACGTGAAAGTGTTACCTATTCGATTTATTGAGTGATAACCATTGACTTACAAATAAATGGACGACGGGTCTAATACAAAAACCACGAAAAAAATGTCCCAAGTCAACCTATTCGAAATTTAAATTGTAATGTCATCGCAGTATCGCGCTGTCCGTAGAACAAATGAAGACTAAAGCGGAGTGTCGCGCTCTGTATACGATTTTAGCGCCTTACAAGTGCGGACGCTTTTTAGCGCGGACCCGACGTCCATATAATTGTAAGTCAATGGTGATAACTATAGAATTATAACCAAACAGCTTTGTTTACTTTGTGTTTAAAAACGGATTGGAACACACTTTAGTTACTTATAATTATTAGGTTTTTTCTTAACTCGTCAACTAACTTTTAATTAGACCTCAGCATACATGCACTAGTTTGTCAGGCATGCATCACACATACCTTTCTGTTTTTATTACCTAGCTATAAATTAAAACACCTAATAAGTGTAGGCACCAATTACAGGTTATTCGACAGGTACAGTCGATAGTTACCCTTTAAATAGCCACGAAACTCCCCGAGCTCGCCTCAAAAGCCGTAAAAGTCTCCTGCGCATCACAAATGATGATGATCCTTATCAGCAGCAGATAGCAACTTGGTATTTTATTATACCAGCACCCTACGCAGTAATGCTGGCATTACTGCTTGACGGCAGTACTTCCTTGGACGAACTCTTTCACCTTTACTGCTACTAAAGATGGATGGAGTAGAAGTTGCTTGATGACGATGTTGATAGCGTCCTAGAGACATTCGGCGGCGTCTCAAACGCAGCGTATTTTTGTATTTTCATAAATCATTATTAAAAAAGGTGTATCTCTAGCAAGAGTGTCTGGTTAAACATAATATCACCTGTGGATGTAAAACAATGGCTCCCGGAGGTACCGCAGATAAGTCTGTTACAGCCCATACAACAGCCACGCCTTCACCGGTTGTGCTAGCCATGGGTTCGGGACTCGCACCGCCTATAAATTCATAGATAAATAACACACATAAACAAAATATACACAATTATATCATGCTACCGCGATAAAACTGTTATATCCATATTACTCAAATTTGAGTGATAAAACCGACATTTATAATTTTATCACAATAGCTAACATGGCGAGTAACGTGAGGACACATTTTTGTCGCACTTCGCACGTCGCAACCAATGGCCGCGAAAAAATATCGCAGTGCCAAACATGGCCGCAAGGTCAATGGCCACAGCTGATTTTAAAACATTTTGACAGTTCTGCATAGTAATTTTATAGTATTACAGTTATAATTTTAGTTCTGTGTGTTAAGTTCAGTTACTTTCTGAAATGAAGCAACTACATGAAAGAAGGATGGCGATATCCCGTGTACTTTGTGACCCAGTGTTTTTGACGACGTGCTTTAATGAGACCTATCAATACTTGTGATTCATTATCAAAAGCATCAAAAAAGCTAACTGAGTACAGCCTGTAGAAGCTGGGGTTATAAAGTTGATATAGGTTATGTTTATAATATTTTCCTATATTTCGCTTCAGATGTTTGTTCGTAGTGGCAGAAAACAAGTTTTCAGTTTGTTCCCAAAAATAATAAAGAACTTCCCGAATATTCCCAAATCTGCCAAACTCTGCCACATTTAATATAACTTATCATGTTCTGCAACAATGAAAATGAATAAAAATTAAATCTGTCCAAATGGCAGTAATCTGCCACAAATGGTCACACTGTTCTCAATATCAATGTGACATTGATAAAACTCTTGTCAAAACGTTCCTATGCAACTTTCATTAGGCAGGTTTTAATGTTTTATGTGTGTACTATAAAATAACTAATACATCAGGTAGGTAAACATTCAACCATGTTTAAAATGAAACGTGTACGAGAATGTTACCTAATCTATGGTCGAATTGGATCAATTGCGATGTGTTCTTGCATCTTTCTAAAATACAATGTTTTACATTTTTGCTAAAAATATAGAAACATATATTGGTAACTAAGACATAAACTAAAACTCAAAATTATACCAGAAAAGTCCATGAACGGGTCGTCGTCGTTATTGGGGCAGCTTTCGCCATCCTTTTAAGTGTAAACTCCAGTGGAGTGTATAAGCTTCTTGCAACAACGACTGTACCACAAACAGCCAGACCCGAGACAATATAGAAAAGTTACGTTTTTCTACACTGACCCGGCCAGGGGTCGAACCCGGGTGCTCAGAGTTGGCGACGCCATGAAAACGGAAGTTATCTTGTGTTTGTAGGTTCTCTATGGTTTTTAGGCTTCAGTTTAATTAGTAAGAAACGGACTTACCGGTAGGCGAGGGCGTCACAGAGTCCGTGCTATGCAGGCTGAGTGTCCTGTACCCAGAGCTGGAAGGCGACAAACGCCAGCTGCTCGACGCTAAGTCTCCTGCAAACAGGAATTTCTGTCATAACTTGTTCGAAAAACCTCTCAAATATTTTGTATATTCTGTGCTGTGCGGCCAGTATAATCAGGTAAGCGAATTTTTGTTTTTTCAAAATCTCCTTTGGATCCAGCATCCATGCTACAGGCGTAGGACCTTAACCGAGTCGGATCCTGAGGCAGCTGAGTGCTATGGAATGGCACATAGTTTGACCACTATGGTATTCAATTATTTTTGTTAAATTACTTCACTAGTTTGTAATAATTATTAATACATAGAACGAACACTTAAGAAAAAAAACCCCATAGATCCGGCTGGAAGCAAATAATTTCATTGATTTCTCAATGATGCTACGGCAAATAAGTCGTTAAAAACAAAAACAAAGATCCGACAACAAGCACATAGAAAAATTTGTGAGGTCTGATTCCTTCTGTGGCTTAGTCGGCATAGCGCCTGACACGGTTTGCTAGAAGACGTCGGTTCAAATCCGGCTGGATCGAAGGAATTTTATCCAAGTGTTCGATCTTTGTATTAATATTTGTAACAATTTGGTAGACACTTTTTTCAATCAACTTGTCTGAATATCATCAGAAAAATGTTGTTGAAATTATCCCAATCCTCAGTTCGTCCAGGGAAGTACTGCCACTTTACCTATTTCTGCCGCCAAGCAGTAATGTGACCATTACTGCGTTCCGGTTAGGGTAGAGGTGCTGGTGCAACTACAGGCACATGGGACTTGTCAAGTTATGTTTCAGGGTCACGGGCGCAGTGGCAATGCCCCTCAGATCATTGCGATTTAAAGCTCTGAGTGACAAGACAAGCGTGTGGCTAAGCAGTAGGCCTGTAGACGTGCATACATGCATAGTTTTCTTGGCTATTCACAAGCCTTTACACTACAATGGTATTGATAATGATGAGGAGATATAGTACCTTGTCGACTTAACAGTCTCGGCACCTGTCGATTCTGGTCTTCTCCTCCATAGCCACCAAAACTGTGGCTTTTGGAGACCGCACCGCGGCCACGGCTTTGGCTGCCGCAGCCAGAGCCTTCTAGAGATTGCACCTGTCATGTCACATAAAAACATAAGAACCTGCTCACGCGTCGCGGACGTAGTCAACAGCCATTGAGTATTTAACCAGAAATAGAGACGAATAATTCAATTTGTTTGAAAACTATTCTGCCAAACCATTACGGTGAAAACTGCACTCCGATTGGCCAGTCCGAATTCGAAACAATTGGTGGGTGTCGTCAATGGTTTCACTTCAAATCAACCAGTTTAACTTGAACTTTGCTAATATGGACGAAAATTGAAAAATTACATATTTAATATTTAATTACCGATGAAATGTGATTCCGTTTGTTTTGTAATTAGACATTTTGCTGTTTTTCCCACACCACCGAATGGAACAATCCCCCATAGTTAAGAGATACTGAGAGATACATATTTAAATATTTTTGGAATATACGGAGACCTACACACTGGTCAGTTGTTGGCGCTGTGCTATTTCAGCTTTCTAATTTGTGATTTCAGCGCAAACGAGAATTGATATTTCAAAGTGATATAAGGCCCATTTGCCTGATGAGTTGCCAGGGATCGATGGTTTTTAATCATCTCTATTTCTGGTTATGTACTCGATGTCAACAGCACAACAACAGAGATGGGCAGTGGGTTAAAGTCCAGTCAACCCGTCCGGGTTTTTACCCATATCTGCCCAACATCGTGGGCAGAAACGGCGGATACGGAATTTTGTCTAATTCCATACTTAAAACATTTGTTTTTAGATGAAAATGAGGCAACTCCAGACAATATCAACCCTGGAATCCTGTAGATTCTCAGTACGAAGGATGCACATTATGATTGATTTTTATAATTCAAGTGCATACGACGTAACGATTTTTTGTATCGATTTAAAAGCGTTTTTCAAACGAATCGATTAATAGAAAGGCAAACAATCGTTGATCTAGAAGCAATAAATTATCATTCAAAATGAACAAAATTCGACTTACAACAAATATTTATAAATAGTTTTTGCACTCGATTTTGGGAGTTAATGGTTTTTTAACTCGATTAAAACAACAAATTGCCGGGTTAAAACCCGGACGCTTGCCCATCTCTGCACATCAAGCTATACACTTTTTTAGTAGCAGTAGAGTCCCTTGTGAAGAGTTCGTCCAGGGTAGTACTGCCACCTTACCTATTTCTGCCGCCAAGCAGTAATGTCAGCATTACTGTGTTCCGGTTTTGAACGGTGCTGGTGAAATTACAGGCACACGGGACTTGTCAACTTATGTCTCAGGGTGACGGGCGCAGTGGTATTGCCCCTCAGACCTTTATTCTTTTAAAGCTCTGAGTGGCACTGCAACTGTTATGGACAGGCGTGTAGCTTACCATCAGGCGCACGACTTGTTCGTCCCGTCACTTGATATTATAAAAAAAAACTTCTATTTGAGTGTCGCCTGCAGTGCACGGCAACAAGTTAATGTTAGTGTTTAGCTTGATGTGCGGCCATCTGTACAATGGATTCATTTGGTTGCCACGACATATGCGCGTCTTTGATTTGGTCATTAATGTACCGAAATGGACGCTGTCTTGTATTTATTTATTTTATTTTATTTTATAGATAAGTGTACGGTGATCCATACACGATCCATACACTTATAAATGATAGTATGATAACTGTTAAGAATGTTTATCAGTTCTGATTTGCAAGTAATAATGATACATTTGATAGGTGTGAAATGAGTACACTGCGCGATGGCCGATTGTGAACTAAATATAAATTATAACTAAATGTCACATGAATACCTATTTTGCCGTATAAACACAATGTACGATATTGCACCGTACAATAAGGTACATCAACAATAGTACATATCGTCTGTTTAAGGGTAAAACCACATAAGTGACATTTTAAACAAGAAGTCTTTAATTTATATAGCTAAGATTATCATTATCTTTCTGCACGTGAAATTCAATTTAATAAGAGTTTTATCTGCAGAAAGACGGTGATTTTCTTACAACAGGTCCATAATTTAGAGATTATTTGTGGAAAAAATCACTTACGTAGTTTTATCTTTAAGCAGATGATATACTCTTAGATAACAGTGTAACTTTACATTAATATTGTACTTATATGTCTATCTAATACAGACGTACACAGCATTTAATGTAATAAAATAATAATAAGCAACAAAGAACTTGTGAAATTACTGGGGAAGGATTCGAAAACGTTATTTTTGAAAACATTACGGGTAGAATGAAAAATGTCTAAATCTATTCGAACGTTAATTTGGTTGTGAATAGAGGTTAATCTAGGTAGTGGATTGTGCAGAACTAGGTTAGTCCGGCATCGGTGCATTGAATATTTTGGTTATTTTACGACAAGGGTAAGGTAAGGTATGCTAGTAACTATTTGGTTCAGAATATTGCAAAATTTTATAGTATTATTTAGTATACCATGTAAAAACAGGAGGTCAGGCAATATTCGGCGATCTCTAAGCGTATTCATTTTGAAGTACCGTAACCTCTGAACGCTCATAATCCAATGATAGTTACGCGTTATATTGTTGCGTAATGTGATGTTCCTTATGTATAGAGGCACTGTTTATAACCTTAAGTATTTAATTACTTATTGTGTAGTGTTTTGTATGTGAAATGTCCTAAATAACTACCTTGAGGAGTTTATTCCTGCCAGCGTCTCCGGGAGTGAGCAGCTTCACCGGCCCTGAGCTCAGCCATGGCCACTGAAATTCGTCCTGCACGCAGTTGTCCTAAAATAATATTATTAACTGGTTAATTCTAGCCAGCTTCGAAGCCGCCCTTGAAGCCACCCTCAAAAGCAACCTTACATTGCTTGAGCCAAGACGTGCCAGAATGCCGGAGATGGAATTGACCTCGACAAGTTGGTTACTCTACAATATTGGTATACCGAGCAGTTACACCAATAAACCAAATTACTCTTACTTTTACCTCTATATTTGCGGGTTCAAACGATTTTTACAGAAAAATTATTTAAAAAAGATTATAATTAACTTTTAAAGATAATGCTTAGAGGTGAGGTTAGATTCCCGGGCCCAGACAAATATTTTATAGCCTTCATTTCTTTCTCTAGTGAGTTTGGGTGTAATTTGTGGTTGTCTATGTTTTGAAGGCATCGAGTATATAACCAGAAATAGAGACGAAATGTCATTTGATTTGTCTGAAAACTATTGAGACTTGATATTTGTAAGTGATGTATCACTGATAAGTTACCAGGAATGTATGACCCTTATTTCGTCTCCATTTCCGATTATATACTCGATGTTTGAAGGTAACTGATTTGTTTTACATTGACGAGCTACAATTTGTGAAAGGTACTCTAATTTCTAGTGGTAACAAACAAATCAACTAGATGGCGCTTATTTCATAGATTTTTAAGACACTGCCGGCTATTCTTTTATTTTGTTTTGGATTAGCGCCATCTACCCATATTAGCATGCGGTAATTTATAAATTAGTTTGTGACACACAACGCCATCTATTGATACGCATATAATGTCCATGGCACCTGCGATATAGGGTTTCCTTAGTGCGGGACTGTGAGTATGTGCGTTATTTCAAAGTCAAAGTCATATAATCATTTATTCCATAGGTAAAATTTTTACACTTGAAAACAATTTTTTAAGCTTCTGCTCGTTCACTGTGCCGACTTCCCTGAGAAAAACGAGCAAGAAACTCTAGGGATTGCTCTTTTCAAATAAACTTAAATGCTATGGAATACATTTTGAATCATAATTGTGTGGAACCTAGACTCATGTTGTCTTTCTATATATCTTTATCTAACACGTAGTCTACAATTTTGTAATATAACTTTTCAATTAAAATACTTTTAATGTAAGTTTTAAACTTAGGAAATGGTAGTCTTAACATATGCTTCGGAATCTTATTGTAAAAAAGTAATACAGTTCTCCATAAAAGAATCGAGTACCTTAGTTAAACGAAACCGTGGTACCATGAGTTTGGACTTATTTTGAAAGTTAATATTATGGGTATCTTCTTTCTTAACAAAATTATGTATATTTTTACGGGTATACAAAATATTTAAGTAAATGTACTGTGATGCCACAGTCATGATTTATTATTATAATAGAATAGAAAACGTTTCATTGCCAGAATACAGTAATTACACAGATCTTAAATAAAAGTAGGTACAATGTATCTAACCTGCAAGCAGGTGTGCAAATATTAATTGAATTAAATATTTAGGCCTCCAAATTTAATTGCATTTAAAATTAATATAAATCAGTATTTGCAAATTCTAAATATTCTTTATTACTATAGAAGTTATGTGTTATAAGCCATTTTGTCAGTTGTGATTTAAATGTAAGTCCGTGTAGTAATTAAAATTCATTTGATAAGCTATCGAAGATCTTTGTGCACATATTGAAGCAGTTATTCTTATAAATTTTAAATGCCGCTGTGGTCGAACGGTTATCGTGCCGGACTGCCACGTAGAGGTCCCAGGTACGATTTCCGGGCCGGGAGAGATATTTGTATGATCTACATTTGTTTCTCTCGTGAGTTTGGGTGTAATTTTGTCTGTGTCTAGTGCAGGGCTATGTCGAGTGTGTGCGTTATTACATTTATATTAAATTAATTGATAGCAACGAGGTTGGTATAAAAGATTCATGATTTTAGTTCTGGTTTGCGGATTCGCGGAGGAATAAACGGATTATAATTATTATTACATACCGAGCTGAAAATCCGTCGCCGCACCCGTTCGTATTCTTTTTCTCGCTGCTCCAGTGACTTGCTTCTAGTCGCGCTCAACGCACCTTGTCCAGGTTCGTCTAGAGAGCTCGTATCGCGTTTTAAAATCGACCTGGCAAACAATAAAGTACATTGTTTTAAGGGATTGCCGGTCGAGTACGAGTTACTTGTTTTATACAAGTCAGGCAATACCGCGTTCCCGCCGAGGTATATATAGTGCTTTTCTTAAACAATATGAGGATATAATGAATGACTAAATAATGAAGGATAATGTATACTAGAAAAAGTAAAACAAGTTAACATAACAAATTTTGATTTTTGTTTTAAATGAGGTGGAGCGCACAAAAGTTCACTGTTGTATTTTCGTTCTTCTCACTAGAATTCGTTTTCGTGAAGAAAATATAACAAAAATAAAAAATAACAAAAAAACAACTTCAATGTACTTTTTACCGCCATTTTTTAGGTATGTGGTGCAAGTATATATTTGTGTATCATAACTAAACGTAAAATAAGTAATACCATGGAAAATATCGATCCCCCTACGGATTGTGGTGGACCTAACTTCTTTCGACGAAAAAAAAAACATACCGACACGTTCAACTACGAGATTTGTCGTACATTATTTACGTAATTAATATAAATCCGTTGGTATATTTTATTCTTATTATTGTTGACATTAATTTGACAAAGATAAGTAATTTTGATTATTAAAACTGATTTCTTACAGTTCAACTGTTTTTCTTTCATATCCTTTACTCGCCATAGTGAGGTGAAAGGTTGTGTGTTTCGCTCGGCAGAAAAGTTGTTTCTAGTGGCTTGAAACCCTCGCTGCGCTCAAGATTCTATTTTTGAACCGCTCGCTTCAATCGTAGTCCAATTTTAGGAACTTTCGTTTCTTCAGGTTTCAATACAAGCATTGGCGTCAAACAACAACTTTGCAGCCTTGCATAACAAACAACTATTAACTCTCGCACGCAGTTGACTGTATGACAGTTTTTATATTTTTAAGTTTAGAACAGTGGACAAAAATTATTTTCATAGTTATTTTAAGAGTTGCACGTTCCGTAAATGACAGACTATGTGGTTTCTGTTTTTGAAAGTAATTCAAACTAACATAAATTACAGGCGGTCTTATTTCTAAGTAACAATTTCATCTAAAGTAGATGCCTATTTTGGACTCGCAAATTTGAAAGTTGCGAGCGGCTGAAGTTTTTTTTACTGTAGCAAGTGACGGGACGAACATGTCGTGCGCCTGGTGTTAAGCGACACGCCTGTCCGTAGCAGTTGCAGTGCCACTAGGAGTTTAAAGTAGCAGAGATCTGAGGGGCACTGCCATTGCTTGCGTCACCCTGAGACATAAGTTGACTAGTCCCATGTGCCCGTAATTTCACCACCACCCTTACCCTTCCAAACAGCAGTAATGCTCGCATTACTGCTTGGCGACAGAAATAGGTAAGGTGGCAGTACTTCCCTGGACGAACTCGTTCTTGTGAAAGAACTCTACCGCCACTAAAAATATTTTATAATTGATATCCATCTTAAAATACTACATAGCAATCAGGCCGCTTATTGCAACTACTACATTATGTTACTATTTTATACTTCAATTACTATTTCGTGTTGCTACGGTAATTTTAAGTGCAATAAAGAATAATTCATTGATTCATTCAATTGAGTCTTCGACCTGTTAAAGACCGCTCTGATAATGAATGATTGTGATAAGTAAATTATAAAAATTGAAAGGGTGTTGCCATGACGATATAAAATACATACTTTGCATTGGTGCTGTCTGAGTTATGTCGCTGCGGGCTGGGGCTGGGGAAGGTCACTGTGCACCATTGCCTGAAGCCCGTGCACGGAATACGGCCGCCGCTCGTTCCTGCAACGAAAATCCCATTCTGTAGTCTGCTTTTTTGAAGACGGAGTAAAATGACATTTGTAGGGTTACCAGTTTTCATAAAATTTTAAATAGTTATGTAGTTGTTGTCGATAGTTTTATCGATAGATTGCGAAAGATAAAAAGAAGGATGGCGACTTCCCGTGTATTTTGTGACCCAGTGTTTGACGAGGTGCATTAAGGAGACCTATCAATACTTGTGTAATTCATTATGAAAGCGTATTGAGTACAGCCTGTAGAAGCTGGGGTGTTAAAGTTGATATAGGCTATATTTATAACATTATCCTGTATTTCGCTTCAGATGTTTGTTCGTAGTAACAGAAAACAAGAAAAAAAAAGAACTTTCCGAATATTCCCAAATCTGCCAAACTCTGCCACATTTAATAGAACTTATCATGTTCTGTAGCTATGAAAATGAATAAAAATTTAATCTGCCCAAAAGACAGAAATCTGCCAGAAATGGTCACACTGCCTTACCACTTTTGGTTACAGTGACACAGCCTTTATTAGCCTGGTCCAGGTGGTGCGAGAGCTGGAAGAGTGCCGCACAGCGGTGGACCAACATGCGGCCGTATGACGACATCACTGGAAACCGCACGACGCAGCGACTGGAAAAATCAGGATAACAAAAACACATAAATACACGATGACGACCCGGATTCAGTTTCCGTTGTGTTCTGGGTAGCGCGTTCCCGCAATTAATTTCAATACTCTACGTAGGGTGTGTTCCCATTCTATCGCATCTAGCCTGTTGTCATATCACGACTATCTAAAAGATAAAGATAAAGATAAATTTATTTCTGTATAAAATATTAACCTAAATACATACACAAATCTTATTAAATAACCTATTATTTACATACATATATGCGCCAAATTGTCGCAAACAATGAAATTATTTTATGTTTACATTACTTTAATTAAGGTTAGTAGTGCAAATTAATCTAGGTGATACCTAAACTAAGTAAAATTGTTTACTTGTGTCTTAGGTATCTAAATTGGTGATTATAGCATAACGGTTAGTCAACATATTTTGTTCAATAACAATAAATTACAATAATACATAAATCTTAATTATAATAGCTGGCGTCTTAATTATATTTATATTACTTAAAAACTGATATAAAATTTTCAGTGTCATTGTAGTTAATTCTTTTTAACCAGTCTTGTACTCTGTCATGTTGTAATCTGTCGTGACTGTGTCGTTTATTTTATCGTTGAACGACTGTCGTTCTAGCTATTCCAATTATCACGACAGTCTGTTGTCGTAATGCCAAAAAAGTCGTGAACGACAGTTAATCGTGTCGTACTATATACGTGAACACGTTCATTTAAATATACAAGCTACGACACTTTAAACTGCACGATTATCTCGACCCCTCCTGCATAAAGTATCGTACGTCCAAATTGCCAAGTTTACAGGGGAGCGTATTAAAGTTCTGAATTCACTGAAATAGGATTTTATAATACTCTATGTGAGTAACGAACGAAACTGAGAAATGCTAAAGTCACGTGTGTTGCTCATTTCAGTGAAATCAAAACTTTAAAACGCTCCCTGTAAACTTGGCAATTTCGACATACGATACTTTATGTAGGAGGGGTCGACTGTCGTGCTACGAAGATAAAATGGAGCTGGGCAAGTATGGTGACAGATGGAGTTAAGCAAAATCCGAATGGAGAAGTGGTCCCAGCAACGTTTAACATCCTATAGTGAGTAGACGACATCTTCAAAGCAGCGTGACTCAGATGGGAGAGATTAGCACTCGTGAACGTCTCGATTAGGAATCGTGGTAATGGTAACTACCGGAGGCTTACACCCAGCTAAAGTCTGTCTGTTTTGAAGATGGAGTAAAGTGACAGTTCATTGTGCAAAAGTGTTGCCTGCATCCAAGCTACTAGTGCTTGCAGTCGATAAATCTATCGATTGAATGTTGTTTCATTTGTATCATCATCGGCCCATTGTTCGTCCAACTGCTGGGCACAGATTTATTTAAATTGTCAATCTTTGTAACTTCACGTATACATACACTACATTTTGAGCTATGTCTATTAAAAATACAAGGATAAGACATATATTAAAGTTTTTCGTTTTAATTCAATACAGATAAGCAAATCGTCTTGTCTTTATTAAAATGTATATGAACAAAAATTTATTTCATTACTAGTAGGCCAACTGTTAAAATAAGAATAAAGAAGGCAATAACGTAATTAGAACGTCTCGTAACATTCACAATTTAAACACTTTTAGCAAAATTTTAGCTTCTTGGATAATTTATCGATAAAACTGTCGATAACGTCTACATGACTATTTAAAATTTTATGAAAACTGGCAACTTTACAAATGGCATTTTACTCCGTCTTCAAAAAAGACAGACTCTACTGGGTGTTTTGTGTAAGACCTGAACGAAAATTTACACCAGATGGTGTCACTTAGCTTTTCCAATCATACACACGTTGGTTTACTATTAATCATTTCTTTGAAAAGCGGAGTTAATGAAAGAAACTAAGAAAACAAATTTATTTAGTGCAATACAATGTAACGTATAGAGAACAATATTATGACTTTATGCTTAAAAATATATTGCACTGAAAAGGGTCCAACTCAGCAAATATTGCGGCGGAGCCACAGCGCTGGTTTTTTTAATAATATCAAGTGACGATTAAGTCGTGCGCCTGATGGTAAGCTATATGTCTGTCCATAACAGTTGCAGTGCCACTCAGAGCTTTAAATCGCAAAGATCTCACTGCCATCTCTGCGCCGGTCATCCTGAGACATAAAGTTGTCAAGTCCCATGTGTCTGTAATTTCACCAGTACCCTTACCCTTCTAAACCGGAACGCAGTAATGCTAACATTACTACTTGGCGGTTGAAATAGGTAAGGTGGCAGTACTGGACGTTCTTACACGAGGAGCTCTATTGCTGCTAAGCTGGTTTTCAGTGGACCCTTTTCGAAGAGGCCGATTTGGAAAAAATTGACAAATAAAAAGAAAATCAAAAATGTGAACGCGAATTAAATAAATAAAACATAAATAACATAATTAATTTAGAATAATTTCAGTACAGAGTACTAAAAAAACTGACCTCAAAAGTACGTGGAATTACGTCTATTTGCTAAGTTTCATTGAAATATCCCCTAGTTCGCCACTATACAGCACTTGATACTGGAGATAATAAAAATAGGTTCTCACTACGACACTACTCAAAGTATATCGAGAGAAAAACGCCTTGAATTGGAGAAATAGCAACATCAACTAAATAATTGCTAAAAGTAATTGCTCCTAAATTACAGTTAGGCGCTATTTATAAAAATGAATCTTCATGCGTGAACAGCCACCCTTTGAGGTGGATGATTTTCTTCAAAATGAAATGGGACCACTATGGAAATACCCCCTTTCCAACAAAAAAAGAATCATGAAAATCGGTTCACAAATACCGGAGTTATCGCGTAACATACATACAAAAAAAAAAAGAAAAAGAACATACAGTCGAATTGAGAACCTCCTCCTTTTTTGAAGTCGGTTAAAAATAACACTCCACGCTAAAGCGCTTTTTAAAAAAAACACTCTGCCTTCATGTTATTTTGTGTTTCTCGGTGCGTTATACAAATATGTGACGATACGTCCTCCTCCGTCGTCATTCAATCATTTTATCACCTTTTCTTTCGTTCCTGGCCAATTATTTTCAAATTTTGAATTGTTCTCTAATTCCGTTGCTTCGTCACCCCCACTTTGTTTCATTCGAATATTCCTGCCCGTCCGATTTTGATCCTTTTACCGGTTTTCATCCAAAATCATGTACCAATTTTAAATACCGATTAAACCTAATAATATTTGTATAAATCGGCCCTTAAGTTGTCTCACGATTTTTTAGTACTTAAGAAGGGAGTGTTTTACCTTTTTTTTGTTACAGCCTTCTCGGTTTTTCTTTCGCCTTAATAAATTATTGGACCGAGTAGAGCAATCTATTATTATTACTAGGAATTGCTATAATGCCTGCAGCGAACGCAGACTTACCCTTAAACATATTTAAAAAGAAATTATTATCGATCTTTGTATTAATAATCATAACGAAGTGTAGAATAATTATATTATAATTATATAGAAGAATTATAACGAAGTGTACAAAAAAGTGGAGTAATTTCACAAAAAATAATTGAATATCAATTCAATAAAAATTTACTTAATACAATGAATAGCGACATCTCTCGCCAGGACTGGTAGCTGTAAAGGTACTAACTGGGTGATAAATCTGTCATAGATTTCTCATAGATGGCGCTACGACTAAAAAAGTCGTTGAAAAACCAAATACAAAGACACGACGCAAGCACATAGAAGAATTCGTGAGGTCCGTTGGTTCGTTCCATGGCTTAGTTGGTAGGTATAGCGTCTGGCACGGTATGCAAGAAGACGTCGGTTCGAATCCGACCGGATCGAAGGAATTTTTTCTGAGTGTTTTTTCTGAGTGTTCGATCTTTGTATTAATAATTATAACAAACTAGTGGAGTAATTTCACAAAAAATAATTGAATATCAAATGATTATCACTAATATCAGGTTTCTTACCACGGTATGACTTCTTTTTATTTTCCCGATATTTCGGAACGGTTGCACGCTCATGGTCAGAGTCTACCCGTGACCATGGAGCGTGCAACCGTTCTGAAATATCGGGAAAATAAAAAGAAGTCATACCGTGGTAAGAAATCTGATACTAGTTATAATCATTTAGTGAATAACCACGAAAGTCTTAAAATCTATATAATTGAATATCAATTCAATAAAAATTTACTTAAATTATTTGACTTGTTATATAATCCGTGTATATATGATATCAAAGATTATTTAGAATGAAAGGAAAAAGACACAACCTCGTTTATAAGCACAACTGTCCACACGCAAAATAGGCGCCTCGACGTCGAGTTGCGGAAACGAGCCCGTTGCACCAATACCAATACCAATAAGCACAACTGTTTCAATATAATAAGATTTTTTTAATAATTTATCTAATGTAATTAAATCACTAAAAGGATTTATAGGACACATTGCTTTTAAAGTAATAAAGAATATTTAGAAGTTACAAATACCAATTAATATTAATTCGAAATGCAAACTGATTTGTAATTGTAGAGACAAATGTGAAATATCATTAACATTAGCACACCTGCGGGCAGGTTGAATCCAATGTACCTAATTTTACTCAAGATCTGTATAAATACTGTATTCTGGCAAATAAACGTATTCTATTCTAACGTTTACAATAGACTGCGAAGATGTTTGAAATCTTTAACCCGCATTAGGCACAATGTTGCTTAGGTTACCAGGAACTTACCGTGTGTCATTTACAAGTGCATTGAGTTCCTTTTCGACCCTTAGTAGTGTGGTTCGGTCGCGTGTACTCTTGTTCAGCGTCTCCTTAATGAAGCTCACCAGGTCCGGCCCTGACAGCTCGGATTTGTCGTCTGTAAGAAATAAACTTAAAACTGTAGATGGCGACACTTGAATCAATAGCAATCATGATGTTTCCGGTAACCCAGTGACGTTACAACACAGTGATTTCCTTGTTCAATATCAATAATTTTGAAGTCGTTTTGTGACGGGCCTCATTTTGTTGATAACATTTTCGAATTTTTTAATAATTTTAAGGATCAATTTATTTATTTTATTTATTCAACTCTACGCACTTCCAGTTTACCAACATAGATTAGAGATACCAAAAAAAGAGAATTAAAAATACAGAAATCAATATTAGATTATTACTCGATCAATACAAACATAGACTTGTAAAATTCTATTTTCGTTTCACTGTCATCAAATAAATAATGACATCGATAACAGTGGTAAAGAATATAAATTTTCGCATATTCGTGCACAGACATATGCCTTATATTTATATATATTTAGACATAAAAACAATAACAAGGTAAATGTAAAGTAAAAGGTAAACGTACCTGAATCCATTCTAGATAAAGATATATTCTTTGGTTTCTCCTTTCTTTCTGGACATCTAAAAGGCAAAAGGTGAGCCATTAACTACAGTGGTTTATTTAAGCAAAATTAAGAGCCTTAAGAGATAATAGACGCTGTCATTACTGTGCTAGAGCATTTGGCAACGATTAATTAGAAACTTGAGATCTTTAAACAGAAACTGAATCCGAATAATGAATAAGTACCTGCAGTAAAAGATCTGATCATCTTTGTCATCTACACTACCAGCTTTCGAATTCGAACCACCTGCAAAAGAAAAAATTAAAAAACTTAAGAATAATATCGGACAGTTTTGGATATCAGTGGAGGCTGTTTATAGAACAAGTATTTACAAGGCTATAAAAAAAAACTAGAGAATTCTCGAAGTCCAGGTCAGAATCCGGAACACCCATACCAGAACCAATTTACAGTACAGTTCTCCTCAACCAGTGCGCCTACGTAGGGTCACAGAAGTTGTCTAATATGCTTAGCATAGAAGACAAAATATCGAGATTCAAAAGTATAACTTTTCATTCAGGATTAGCGACGCCTCCCCTTTGGATGGCTAAGCTTATTTTTATTCGGGGGTAGTAGCCTGCATTGTGGTCACCACTTTCAAGGAGAGTAACTGAAACCCCGTTAGAGATCCAAAGTTTCCATCGCGAAGTGCACAAAACAACTGAAACTGACTGAGGTTGGTGCATTTGAGGCTTAAGCTGAGTTTATTGGAATATTTTCTTAACTTATCTATGAAAAAAACTGTAGTTTTAGTTAAAATATAAAATCCACAAAGGCAGTGACGGAATCCATTTTAGAAGGTTAATAGTGGTTTAACATCTTTCTTTCGCGATAATGGCATTGATTGATTTCCCAGAAATAACGGACAAACAGTCAGTCTCAATCAATGGTAATTAGCAGCCTTAAGGATATCTTACGGCTGTTTTATTTGTCACTACTATTGCAAACAGTTAAGGAACAACAATAAATCGTAAAGAAGTTTGTTGAATGAAACAACACATGGAAAGTATGCATAATAAGAAGGTATTTCTACAATAATTTCGTGTACCTGTGGGTTCTGAATCGCCACAGTCAGGACATTCCTCGGAACACACAATGCCAGAATCTTGCTTGGCTTGGCAGAGGCGTTTTCGCCGGCGACCTCTGCAATGTAACATAGACATAGTATAAAATATAATCAACAACACCTGACCATTGCATTTACATGACATTTGCATTACATGCACTGTCCAACCAAACGTGAGGTCAATCAGTGCCGGTCATAAAATAGCCCCCTGAGGAACACTTTGATGGTTTTTACAACCAGTTTTATCATTCATATGTAGTAGGTACAATTTGTGATTGGATATGAAATATATATAATTATATGAACTTAAAAAGGCGACAAATAAACCGGCCGCGCTAAATGCATATTACGCGTACGCCCATGCTTGGCTACAGTATGGCATTATCTTATGGGGAAACAGCACAGACACGCAAAAATTATTTAGGTTGAAAAATAGATGTCTCCGCATAATTGCCAACATAGACGAGATGACAAGCTGCCGGTCATTCTTCATCAAAGAAAAAGTGCTCACCCTCCCATCCTTATATATATTAGAAATAAGTATTTTTGTCAAAAACAAACATGTACCTTTTCCCACAGTACGATAGGCCAGATAATTTGCGTCTACGCCAAAGATTAGCCCCCCCAACTTCAAAATTAAATTTAGTTCACTCAGGGCCCTTGGCAATGGCGGTAAAAACTTATAAAAACTTTATAAACTTATAAAATACCAGAACATATGGAAACAGAAACTAATATAGATAAATTTAAACATGCATTAAAAAAATATTTATTATTAAAAAGCTTCTATTCGGTTTTTATCAATTTGGTATAGTATACAAAAAATTTAACGAATAGAAAAATAATAAAATTAAAATAAATAGTTTAATATTAATAAATAATAATAAAAATTAATATATGATAATATAATGTGAATGTTAAATAATAACGCTCACAGTCAACATAGCCCCGCACTAGGGAAACCCTGTGTCGCGGGTGCCATGGACACACACATAGACAATCACAAATTACACCCAAACTCACGACAGAAATAAATGTAGGCCATACAAATATGTCTCCCGGCCCGGGAATCGAACCTGGGACCTTTGCGTGGCAGTCCGGCATGGTAACCGTTCGGCCACGGAGGTAGTTAAGTTAAATTGGATTTATTATTAATATGTGAATATTTGATTTGAGATACTTACCATTATTTTGTGAATGTTTACTTTGAGTTGTTATTAATTATTAATAATTTGAGTTAATTGAGTAGGCATTTTATATTTGTCATGTTTTGTTTTTGTTTTTGAAGAATTAATTATTACATTAATGTTTACTATATTGCGATTAGATATATGTCTGTGGCGATATCCAACCAGCATAGGTGTGGATACTGGAAAATCGAAATGTACATCATATTTACCACATGTTCGCAATAAACATCTTATCTTAACTAATTATTTAAAAAAAAGATAAGTTGACTAATGTTAAATATAATCCTAGAATGTTTTGACCTGAACTAGTTTTTAGGTTGTAATTGAAAAATATGACATACTTAATACATATTTAACATGACCTTTTGACGATTGCAAAATTGTATATTTTTAATTCATTTAAATTCTCATAAATTGTAAGTAAATTGTAACACAAATTATATTCTGATTTTAGATTTGACATTGCTGCGCCCTTACAGGGTTCACGTTGATCTATACCAATAATTTAACACCTATAAATGTAACAACGTGAATGCAATAAATGTTTTGACTTTGACTTTGAGATAAAAAAATTACAGTTTTGGAAATTCGACGAACTCGATTAGACACAGACGTAGACATTTTTTATTGGTAAAAAATTTACATTTACAAGTCATAAATTGCTTTAATAAAATATGACCATAGAATAATGAGTAGCGATGTGTAATTATTTTATATGGAGTAGTTCTGTAAAGTCAAACGCTTTTCGGAAGTCGGAAAACTTTTATAAGTTGTGCTGTTGCGTCAAGGTTCTGCTTTTCAATGAGCAATCAGGCTTCAGAAGGTCGGTGATTGATCACAATAAATAAAGTGCCTCTCGTACAACTACTATTCGATAAAGGTCGATAAGATTTTGATCCTAGCCATATTGCAGGATTTCAAACAACTAACGTATCATACGTCAATACTAAAGTTACCTTTCAGGGAACAAATGTATCTGATCATGTTTAGCTTTAAAACAGAAGATTGCCTCATATATTACCCGAAAGGCGTTCCTAGAAGCAAACGCAAAAAATCGGTAGATTACGATGCTACATATTGAACAAACTAAATAACACACCTGCAGTGCGGACAGGCATTGCAAGCGCCGCAAACACATGCGACGCGCGGGTTGTTCGACAGCAAATCGCGTGAATGCTGTTGGTGACCCAGCCACCGTTTGGTGCGTTGTCGTTGGTCTTGAGACTCCATATCCCATCCGCCGGAAGTGATCTGAAAGTGAATTAAATGATAAGGATTCCTTTAAACATTCAGTTTTATAAACTTTTATATGTGTTAGGAGAAATAATGCTGAGTTTCCAGAGCCTTAAATAAT